CTCTAGGGCCCAGGGCAGTGAGCACTGCTCAAGGCACAGTCTGGCAGAGTGCCCCTCGATTTTGGATGTTGTGTACCCAGACATGGCTTATCATCCCTGGGGAAGTGCTGGCAGATAGCACACGGGGCTGGGAGATAACTGCTGAACTGCTTTGGGAAACTGGTGTGCTGGAATTCTGCACAAATGTGTGACACAAGTGGGTTTCTGCTCTGCTTTTCGAGGTCTGAACAGTAATTAGGATCAGCAGAGGAAAGGTGTATCCTGGTCTGTGCTCTTAGGGAGCCAGCCTGGCTCCTGCACCTGCACATCCCACTGCCTTCATCCCTAAGCTTTGTAAAGCATTTTACCCTTGCCAGGAAGCACAGCTCTTTCTTCCTGCCCCGAGGAAAAATGACTACTGCCCTACCTCATTTTTGAAAAAGCTCCCACTGCCAAATTCTGAGAAAAGCTTGTTTTACCTGAAACAAAACAGCTACCAAAACCCTCAGGTTTTCTCTTCCCACACTTCCATGCCCTGTATCTTGGCATGGGCACATCAAGGAGCTGCTGCCTGGAACTCTGTCGTTAGATTACATAAATCCCTCAGCATACCCTGAGGAAAAATTACACCGTGGTGTGAGATGCAGTTGTTTTGAAGGCTTGAGAAAGAAGCTGGAAATATTTTTGTTCTCAAGTTGAAATCTTAAATTGAGAAAAATGTGCCTGTGTCTGTCTTTCCCCATCAGGGATCAGGCTGCTTTCTTCCAAAGGCTGGTGATTTTCCGTGTGCTGTTTAGGATTCCGATTCTTGCGTGCCAGCAGAAAAGGGGGCGTGTGTCGAGGGAATGTAAAGAAATAATTTAACCTCTAGTGCTCTTTCTGAGAACAATTTAACTTGCAGAAAACAAGCCCAGATTCAAATTGTGATTCTTCTGTTGATCTTAGCAAAGCTCTGACCAGTGAGGAACTCCGGGGGGGGGGGGGGAAGGCAATGGCGTGACAAGCTTTATGTATTATTTTATTTCAGCTTCTTGTCCTATTTCAGTTCTCATGAATGTGATAAAGAGGGAGGTGCTAATTATTCCTTCATGAACTTTGAGTTGTCTTAGGGACCAGGTCAGGGTAGATGGAGGGGTTCTGTCACCGCACTGTGTGAGTCTGAGCACGGGTGAGCTCCAGCTACTTACAGTTTCCTCCTTACTGGTAACTTTTCCCCTAAGTGAGGGACACACAGCTCAGCCACAGGTTTATTGATACCACACACATTTTTTAGTTCCTTCTGGAACTCAGAGAAGCTTGGGAAAAAAAACATGCCTTTATTTTCATCATGATGGGTTTGGTGACAGAACACGAGGGGAAGGTGAGGTGCAGCTTTGCTGGTTCTTTTGAGGCTGCAGCACTAAGAGATGATTGCATAAGGAGAGAGGAGACTTGTATTTAAGATAAGGATGAATAAGTCACAGTTAATTAGCCAAATTGATAATTGAAACACATAACACACTGAGCCAAGCATTCACATGATCTACTAAAGACTTAAAATATCATATTTTCACAGCCAGCTGACCCTCCCTGAGATCCAGCCAGGGGAGGTGACTGCTGCTTGCAAATACTTTATGTAGGCAAAGCCCTTATTGTACCTAGAAGCTATTGGGATAAAAGTTCTGCATCTCTAAATAAAAAGTCTTCAGAGCTCCTGAAGCTCTTGGCACTGGGAGGAATCTCTGCAGGGACAGCACGAAACCTCCCGCAGCCATCAACCATTTTCTGCAGCGCTGCAGGAAGGCATTCCCTGAAAAAGTGGAGGTTAGGGTTCTGAGCGCTTCAAATCCTCAAAAGTCATCCTAAAAAGTGCTCAGAAGTCTTTCACCTTCACCTTCTGGGCACTGTCATGAGCACAGGTCTCATGACCTGGTGAAATCACGCGGAGCATGGCATGGAAGGGTGAGCCATTCCCAAGCACTTTGCATTGGCAGTAGGATAAGAGCAATTACAGTAGCACCTGAGAGGCAGCTACCTTGGGAGTGGTTTATCCAGCTCCCTGGCTGCTGTTAGACAACCCTTTATTTCCACAGCCATGGACTGTTGTAGATTAATTCACAAATAAAGTCAGTTCCATGTCGTTAGGAACATTACTCCACGATTCTTAAGGTTGGATACACAGTCATAAGATGGATACACAGAAAAAACCCCACAGCACCAGTTATTTTTGATTTAGAAAAGCAACATGTTTGGGAGCGATAATTCACAGCATAAAGGATGGAAGAAAATAAAACTTCTTTCTGCAATGAAAGCAGTAATGAAACAACAGACCACTAAAAAATGGCTAAAAGGAATAAAGCAGAACAGAGGTGGAAACTTTGCAGCAGGTAAGTTTCATCAAAACATGATATTACCAGAAAACTTAGATTATTGCCAAATATTATGGTAAAGTGTTAACAGACTTTACAATGAAATTACATTAACACGGGATAAAATTGAAGATGTTTTAAATGTTGCTGAACGAGACAGTGATATCCTTTCGTCCCACCTCAGTTTTTGCCATCAACTCTGGCTTTTAACAGTATTGGTCTTTGAATTTTGTGCTTTCCAGGCTGGAGACACTGTGCTTATTTGTATTTTGAAGCAGTCAGTTTACTTAGGCAGCAATGTGGGCAGAAGGGAATTTTGCCTTCAACCAGTTGAGCCACGTAAGGGTTTTCACTCCATTATTTACCTTGTAAATTAGACTCCTGAGGGGAGAGGGGCTTTCAGACGTTTGAAATGCTGTATGCAAAAAGCCTGTACATTTGTCTCTCTTTTTTTGTTTCTCTCTTTTAATATTAAGCAGCCCTTTTCACTGCTGGTTCTCTGCCTCAGGACAGCGGAGCAACACTCGCGAGAGACAAAAGCGAGGGAGCGGCCGCTGGGTGTGTCAGCTGGAAGGGCAGAAGCTGATAGAGAAAATCATTTACTGTCATCAGCACACAGTGAGTGTTGCACTTCACAAAACAGGAGGGAAATGTCCTTGTCGTGGAGACATGGAAGAATCTTCTCATTTTCCACGAACCTCCTTTCTGAACAGCCAAACACACAAAGTTCTTTGTCTTCTTTTCTTCCTTCTCTTCAACTTTCGCACTCATGTTAAGCTTTCTCTCACACTTGTCAAACTAAAGTAGATTTTTGCGGGACTTCATAGTTTGTTTAAGGAAAAAAATATGGAGTACATTAGCAGTTAATTTAATGGATTCTTGCCTAGGGGTTTCAGTATTGTTATGACTCAGGCCTCTCAAAATCATGAGATTGGCTTAGTCACTCTTTTTTTTTTTTTTTTTAACAGATACAAACACTGAACCCATTCCCACCCTGGTTATTTGGGACAGAGGTGGGACAGCTTCACACCGGCATCACCTGGGCACACAGCCCTGCCAGAGCGGCCCTGGGCATGTGGCCTTTTACAGGCAGAATCTGGACATTAGGAGGAATTTCTTCATGTGATTAAACACTGGGATGGGCTGCCCAGGGAGGTGGTGGAATCACCATCCTGGAGATGTTCAAGAAATTACTGGATGTGGAACTCCGTGCCCTGGTCTAGCTGACATAGCAGTGATCGGTCACAGGTTGGACCTAATCACAGAAACACAGAATCATTAGGGTTGAAGGGACCTCCAGAGATCACCCAGCCCTGCTGAGGCAGGGTCACCTGAAGCAGGTGACACAGGAACGCATCCAGGTAGGTCTGGAATGTCTCCAGAAGGGGAGACTCCACGACCTCCCTGGGCAGCTGTTCCACTGCTCTGCCACCCTTAATGTAAAGAAGCTCTTCCTCAAGTTGAGGTAAAACTTCTTGTATTTTAGTTTATGTCCCTTGCTCCTTGTCCTGTCACTGGGCACCACCAAAAAGATTCTGGAACCATCCTGGTACAGGTTTCCCAGAGAAGCTGTGGCTGCCCAATCCTTGGAAGTGTTCCAGGCCAGGTTGGACAGGGCTTGGAGAACCTGGGACAGCAAGTGGCATCCCTGCCCATGTGATGGGGTTGGAATGAGATCATCCTCAAGGTCCCTTCCAACACAAACCATCCCATGATTCTATTATGCTCTTGATGTCAGCCTTGGGAGATATTTATATATTTTTTATTTATAATGGGATCTCATCTTCTCCCCTCCTCTCTCCTCTCCTCTCCTCGTTGTAACAAGATGACCTTTGAGGTCCCTTCCAACCCAAACCATTCCCTGATTCTATGTTGCTCTTGACACCCGCTTTGGGAGATGTTTATACATCTTTTAGTTATGAGATCCCCTCTCACCCTTCTGTTTTCCGGACTAAACACGCCCATCACCCCCAGCCTCTCCTCATCAGAGAGATGCTTAACGGTGCTTCCATGGAAGTTTTTTGGGCTCCCCTCCCTCTTTCCCGCTCACTGCCTCCCCGCTCCCCTCGGGGAGGCGGTCCCATGTCAATGGAGGGCGGGTTCCATGGACGTTTTTGGGGATGCTCTCCCCCTTTCCCGCGCGGCGTTTCCCCGCTCCCCTCAGGGGGCGGTTCCCGCCCCGCTCCCTCAGCGCGCTCCGCTCCCGCCCCGTGCGCGCGCAGCGGGCGGGCGGGGCCGGCGCATGCGCGGCGCGGCGCG